TGGATTACTCGTCAACTGCGGTATTAACAGTGACAAAAATGATATCAGGGTTTTAAAGGGGAGAATTAGTGCACATTACAATACAGCAAGGATATCTTATACGAGCATTAGTGATGAAAATGTCCACTTGCGTAGTTCATTCTGTTTGGAGTGCTCAGGTGATCATTCTTTTGATCAATGTCAGAAGACAAGAATGTTACGAAAAGGAATGAATTCGTGCTTGGACACAAGTCATGTAATATTTGTCTGAAGGCTAACCGTGCTGCAAAAAGCTGTCGATTACCGAGGTCATGTGTCGTTGAAGGATGTGATTGAAGACTGTTAGGATATTCACAGGAATATCCCAAAATATCTCGAAAGTAAAGTCGTATGTTTTCAGACTCTTCAAATATTTTGCATGTTATTTTCTATTGGTCATTAATTACAGTTGTCCTAAGTATGACTTTCACGTGTCGTTTCCTATTGGTCAATTTTTAGTTGTCCTAATTATAACATCTACGTGTCCTTTCTTTCCATTGGTTACTGTTCATAGTCATCTTAACTTTATAAATATGCCTTGTCTGTAAATCATTTTTGTTCTGCTACTGACCCCATAAACAATTCTCATCTAACGGCTGTGTTCTGATTTATTGGATTTGGGGAACAGTATTGGAGTCGAACTAGGATATCTGAATTTGGTCAATCAGTAGAATTTCGTGTAGTCCTATCTCAATACGTAATATTTGGGCAATTTATATTGAAGGCACAATACCCTGTCACACAGGAAGCAGTAAGTACAGAGAGACGGCATTAGTGATGCTTGCACTATACGAAGGGATGTGTCAAGCATATACAGAAACTAGTAGCATCTGCAGTAGTGCCTGTATGGATAAAAAATGGTGAGAAGATTATTCAGGCTTGCGCTTCTCTAGATAGCGAATCAGATACTTCCCTTTTTGTTGATCTCGTTGACGAATTAGACCTCGGAGGAAAACCAAAAATGATGTCTTCAAAGACTCTTGGTAATGAATCGTCATTGATAATCATAGAGGTCGATGTACAGTTGCACTTGATAGATTTTTCGTCATCCGTTAAAGTGTAGAAAGTGTAAACAGTCAAAATACTACCGGCGGTTCACAGGACTGTGCCCACGGCGCATCAAATGGCATATTGCTCTCATGTAAAATAAGAAGGGGTTTTGTGGAGATTTTAGTATTTTCATGGTTGAAATCATGAGTCAATTGAAGCTAGACGATCATGGAAAACCTGGAAGCATTTGACGGCCGTTTCGTCTTATCATGAGACTCCTCAGCAGTGCACATCCACGATCTATCTCATTTGAAAGACATAAAATTTCCGAGAGAAGACGAGAAGGTCAAACTGTTGATTGGGTGTAACGCACACAGTGTACACGAGGTGAGAGAGATAAGAACCGGAAAGATGAATGAACCGTCTGCTGTGAGGAGTGTAGTAGGTTGGACGTTGTTCGGCTCCTACGGAGAACTTCGTATAAGCGACCGTGTACTTAATTACCTTTCAGATAGAGAGGAATTAGAGGATAAGTTTGAACAATTGTACTGAAACGAATTCAAAGACCCATTTAGTCGTAATACATCGATGTCTGTAGAAGATCGTATTGCACTCAGCACCATATCAAATTCACTGCAAAAGTTAAATGAGCACTATCAAATAGCTCTGCCTTGGAGGCCCGAAAACAAGTTACCTAATAAGAAGAAATTAGCAGAACATAGAATTAGCTATTTGTAAAGTAGACATATTCGGGATGCGAAGTCGCTCCAAGACTATGAGAGCGCCAGGACTCAATATATAGAACGAGACTAAGCAAGAAAGGCAAATGATAGCCATACTGATGGACAAATTTGGTATCTTCCTCATCACCCTGCCTTCCATCTCAAGAAGCCTAGCAAGTTAAGAATAGTGTTTGGTTGTGCAGCTCAGTAAGCTGGAACGTCTTTAAACAAGGATCTTTGTTCTAGACCTGATTTGGTCACCAATTTAGTAGGCGTATTCACCAGGTTTCGGCAACGACCAATAGGTCTTATGGCAGACATTGAAGTCATGTTTCATCACGTAGTAGTTCCGTGGGATGATCCAGATGCTATTAGCTATGGTGGGTATTTAGAAACGGAACCAGAAGTCTATGGAATGAAAGCTGTTTGAAGCAACCTAATCGCCATGTTGTGCCACGTTTGCCTTGCAGAGAACGATTTCTGATGATCGAGATAAATTTTCGAGGGTTGTTACGCAATTAGCTAAGGAACAGTTCTATGTGGACAAATTATTGATAAGTGTGGATACTATAAAAGAAGTCAAACCGATATATTCACACTTCAAAAGACTCCTTAAATGTGAAGAAATTAACTTAAGTAAATAGACCAGTAATAATATTGAAGTGTTGGAGTTCATTCCAGAGGAAGACCGTATTGAAGGAAACATTACCCTTCGTGAATCTAATGAGACGAGGAAGCGAACGCTTGGAATAGAGTGAAACGTCAGAACCGACGAATTTTTTTCAGATTTCATGAGTTCCATGGAAACCTAACCAGGAGAAACATCTTGTCGTACGTAGCATCTATCTTTGATCCAGTTGGGTTTATGGCCAGTATAATACTACTAGCCAAAGTGATCTTATCAGATACCTGTCGGCAGAAATTATATTGGGACGCAGAGTTACCCAGGAATTACCAAGTGAAGTGGAATATTTGGTGTAGACAAATAAAGGAGTCGGACTACTTAAGAATACCAAGATGTATGAAACCAAGGTTGGAACCATCATCTGCTCAAATTCATTGTTTTGCCGATGTTTCTGATCTTGCGAATGGCGTTGTTGCGTTTATTCGTTATGAAAGTGTTTCTGGTCAGATTCATTGCTCATTCCTGCTAGCTACGTTTAGAGTAGCTCCTCTAAAACTTTTCACTATGCCCAGAATGGAATTAACAGCAGTGTTCGCAATCTGTTTCATGTGTGTCACTGTAAACCCTCATCATGAATTTAGCAAGAATGAATGGTCATCTGGAATAATTGTTAATATCTACAAAATATTGCGAAAAATTAGTATCCACACGATTTGCGAAATAACAGATCACTACAGGTAATTATTTGTTCTACGGACGAATATCTTCCAAAATTCTCTTACAACACGATAAGCCTTTTGGAATATTCAGCACCAGATCCCATTTTCGAAAACTGTTAACTACTTCAAAGAATTCAAAAGCACTATGAGAAATCTGACCTTAATATAGTCTTATAACAGCCTTTAATGATCAACAAACTGTCCATTGGCATCTACTTCTTAATATGTGGAATCATAGAAAACAACAAAATTTATCTGAATAACTGGCAGGAAAATTGGTATCGGAAAACGAGGTAATCCACGAGGTATTAGAAAGGAATCAATACAATAAAAGTCAATTCTCATTGATGAGACTGCATTCAACCATATGGACTAGTTCATTCGTTGCCTAGATAATATTTGAAAATCTGAAAATAGCATGGTTTATCTTGTAGTTGATGACACGCTTTGCTGGAGGAATCATGAGTGGTAACTCTTTAATCTTACAATAGGACGAAATAGTTATTTAGTGTCCCCTTCTCTCCTATGTTATCTCGACTGAGGTCGACCCGTAATGAATATCACCTACATACATTTAAAATCAATGTTCCAATTTGTATTCTTACAATAAATGCCGAACAATCGTGGGGGTCCTATATAATATACGAGAAAATAATATTGGGCAAGGATTCTTACAGTATATATATATATATGATGAAGCCCAATATAACAATCTAAGCGTCACTAACGCAAACTATTTACTTATTTAAACACATAAACATTGGTACAAGAAGGTACCAAATACATATGCGCCCCACAAGTTATTCGATTTGTGTGAGGGATGGAATATTGTCCGGGCACCCAAACCGAACCAGGTGGTTTTCTTAGGAGGTCACTCTCTGAGCCTTTGACCTAGAGGTCTGATTCACAGGGCAGTGGAGCAACGTTAGGAGATGCATTCCCATGGTAACCGGCAACCAACAATAGTTTCGTACCAATATTTGTTTCTTCAGGATACTGTAGTCCATGTGCACCATTGGTGGATTCACCCGGTTAAAGCGCCAGACATTTGCTTTTTATCCTCTCAATTTCATGAACAGCACCCCTGCCGCGATAAATCAGTGAGTAGGACTTCCCTGGCAGTGACTATGTAAAAAACCACAAAGCAGGTACTGGAAATTTCGGTAGAAATCTTCGCGTAAGCAATTACTAATGTAAGCATAATTATGTTAACACAGAAAAAAGTATTTAATTCATTGAAATCTCATGTTAATACACTTAGGTCATGTAAATTACACAGCATAAGTGCATAGAATCAGTTATATCACTACAGTAAGTAAAATTGGTACAATAGACTAAAGGAAGAGAAAAACATTACATAGAATTGGTCTGTTCCTATATATAATTTCGCAAGTAGTAGGATAAAACAAATTGTTGGTTCTCCGAAACATATGTGGTAGTATATGTCGACTGTCAAGTCATTGTTCAGTGAAATTGCAGTCAGAGGATGCTACGAGTTTAATTTAGTAGAGATGAAATCAAACAGTGAATCGTACGACTGGTAGTTGAATTACTAACTTGGTAAAATTACAAATTACATTTTTTCAAAACATCATTCAACAAATAACATTAATCAATATAAGTTCTTAAGGGGCTTAATATATATTCCCATACCATGTTTTTTATATTATTATCGCACTCGAAAATCATTTATCCATTATACTATTCATTCGCAAAGGAAACCAAAATATAGTTTTAGTAATCTATCCTTGATAGTTGTAATTGATATATATTTATCAACGTCTGTTACCGTATTTTACAACAAGAATTAAAACAACATTGAAACGGTAATAAATCATAAATAATGAATTAAACCGAAGTATGTGTAAAACATGGTTCGTCAATGAATACCATTAAATGCATTAAAAGAATAACGTGCTTGATCACAATAATAATAATAATAATAATAATAATAATAATAATAATAATAATAATAATAATAGAAGTGAAAATAAAAGGTTTCATATGAATTAACACATAGACGCCCAAATTATTGAATGTCCATTCCGAAAATAAGCAAACTTTAACTATTCGTAATTAATGTATGTCTTCACAATCATAAAACAAAATAAAGATGCTGCATTTTAACAAATTTATGCATTATGCAATATCGTAAGTTTATCTAATATACACAGAAAACTAGTAATAATGAAGTTAAATAGAATATGAATATAGAAAAAATGACACGCATAAAATAAGAAGTAAATTATTACATGTAAAGAGTTTCAAAAATGTGAACAAATAATGAGGGGGGGGAGGAAATATTTGAAATAAATAAAGATCCATGTTTATTCTAATAAATGCAAGAATAAAGTAAGTCAATATATGAAGATGTCAGGTAACACGAATGTATATTATTCAATGAGTTCATGGGTTCATGAAACTTTTCCGTAAAAAAATGAACAAAGAAATTTTCACGCCCAAATCTGTAAAATATAAATTTATAATTAACTGTTAAGGACGTAAACTAATATATATATATATATCATGTTTGAATTGCAATCAAAATCGATAAAGTTTTAATATGGCAATTAGTAAAAGAGGCGAATACTTAAATTACTTTAGGCTCACGCACAATTTATTCAAAGATATTGCTAACTCTTTTAGAGCTTACAGTAGGCGTGGTTTATTACCTACTTAATATGTGAATATTGTGGATGGAAAATATGATTTTTTTACATTAATTTAGATAAGAAAACGAATTTAATACTATGTGAATCTTATAGTTGAATTCATGATTTCATTGAAGCTAGACCATCATGGAAAACGTGGAAGTACTTGACGGCCGTTTCGTCCTATTGTAGGACTCCTCGGCAGTTCATATCCACGATATCGCCTCGCGAGGTTCGAACTCAGGACCTAACAGTTTCGCGCGCGAGCGCTTTACTTCTAGACCACTGAGCCGGCATCCGATGGTGTTAATTTCTAACTTCAATCAATCCACGAAATTGAGCAACCGTCCAACACTGTTTTAAGTGAGTTGCTATCTCACAACAGATCCGGTTGAACTCCATTGGTCACCGCTTCTCACTAGAACTCCAGGAAATATCTCTTGAAGCTAGTCGCTAGTGAGCATTTGATTAGACACTGACACCGTTGGATGCCGGCTCAGTGGTCTAGAAGTAAAGCGCTCGCGCGCGAAACTGTTAGGTCCTGAGTTCGAACCTCGCGAGGCGAGATCGTGGATATGAACTGCTGAGGAGTCCCACAATAGAACTAAACGGCCGTCCAGTGCTTCCAGGTTTCCCATGGTGGTCTAGCTTCAATTGACTCATGAATTCAACCATAAAATTACTAAAATCTCCACAAACATACCCTTTCTAAAAATGTGGATCGACAATTATACACCAACATTAATATATTATTTTAAAAGTGGTAAGTGTGGACGAATTTATTAAACAGAACGAAAGCAAATATTACAAAATAGGGGATATGACACTGAGTGAAATACAGAGTTTTCATCTTCATAATTTGTCTCTTCACAGATCGATTATTATAGTTTGTTGGCATTTTCGATTGCTAATAATTGACCATTGTTTAAAATATTTCTTAAGAGCAAAAAGCGCAGAAGGATACTTAGAACAGCTAGCCATAATAAAAGACTTAAACCTATGAAATATGGTTAACAAATTTGAAGTAATCCGTTCTTCAGCTTTAAGGTGAACATTAATACATTTTAGGATTGCATTTTCCAAGAGTTTTGTAACACTTAATTCAGTACCTCATTAATAGGAATATACTTTAAATTTTAGCTCCTAAAACAATATTTACATTTAATTTTTATGTCTCTTGTTCTACTTTTAACAGTCCATTATTGAACTAGACACGAAGTTATTCTTATGGATCAACTATATACTCTGTATGTATATTACTTAAACTCTAGCGAACAACAATTCTATAAAAAATTCTGTTCAACCGAAATGGCACAAAACAAATAGCACGGAATGTTATTCAAAGAAATCGACTCAGATGTGTTTTAACACGTATCAAGTATCATGTTTAGAAACAAACTACTGTCCTGAATTTAAAGTCCTATTTCGTTATTATCAATATCCTATTTCAAATGAAAACTGACAAACATATCGTTAGTATTTATAAACCTAAAAGTGACTCCTTAGTTCGAATACATAATTTTTTGGGGATAATTACACTTAGGTATAACTTGTCGTATTCTGATTGTGTTCGAAGAGGACCTAATGTATAAACCAATCGACATCAAGATGTACAAAGATAATACTATTCATTATTATTCCCCAATTACCAGAGGATTCTTCAATGTTTACGAGATGAGCATACGAGTATGTGTATACGAATGATCATTAATTTTGTTGTGATTGTGAGTCGTACCGCGTATGAGTGACAGATGTGGAATGTTTGTTTCCACTCAACCAGCTTTATTTCGGCAAAATTTAATGCCAACATTAAATCAAGAACCATGATGCGAAGCTAATATGAACCACGTGTGTAGGTGCAGACTTTCTATTCGGAGCTAATCCAATAGTCATATTCTTGGATTGAACATTAGATTAGAGGAAACAAACGTGACAGTAGTTTAGCGGAGATATTAGCTAGCGAGTTGTAGCATTTTCGATTCAAATAGTGGCTTCCCAATTAAAATTATAGCATACCGAATCTACGGATTAAGACTTGAAGGTAGAAAACTTGAGTTACCAAGCAGAAGTCCCGCGAAAAAACTTTTTTTCAGTCATTTTAAACAATAGTTTCTATTTAAAAAATTAAAAAAGTAATCACCTGTAAAGTTGTGTCCCAGCTTCCAGTACATATAGCTGTTCCATCTGGGCTGACACGTAGGGCTGAAATACGATTTTCATGACAATAGAGGATATTAATACGTTGACCTTTGAGTACGTCCCAGATATTCACGGCATGATCACTATAACCACCAAACAATAGGCGACCTAAAACAAAAATCAAAGTAATTGACTAGTTGCACGAGTTCATTGAAATGGTATTCAAATAGCTAAGGATAGTATGTTATTCTCGAATTTCTAAAAATTCTCAGCTCCTATTTTTGATAATTAGCAAGACATTTCACTTATATATGGGTTACAATTATGTGGATAGAAAACGTAATGAGAATAGGTGTGCGTACGAATTTAACTTATAAAGTATGAACTGCAAAGCAAAACCAAATACTGAGAGCAAAAGGTTATAAGTGTCATAACAAATGTATCAGGCAAGTTTGATGGAGAATATCAAAGTGGAGAGCGTCAGTCAAGTATCAAAATCAAACACAATGTACGAATTTATGTCAATATAGTTAACGCGGTGTGTAGATTAGCTTAACGGTTTACATGTATAACAAAAATAGTTATAGGAGGCTTAGAATATTTTAAATTATGATGAAATTACTACATGGAAAGTTAAAGAAAAAATAATTTTTTAAAGTCTGAAAGTATTTGAATGCTTTCAGTTTGAAGGTAGTTGATGATATTATTGTGAACGATAAAGCTTTGATTCCTTATTAGACTCAACCGAATCCCATAAACTAAGAAAAATACGTTTTTGACCAGTATTTGTTAGGCGTATATGTATCAAGACTTATCAAACACTACTTAAGGAACTTTACCAGACTTAAATACATACAAATCTTATTGAGTAAGCAAGTTCATTTCGGAGGTTATAAAAAAACGGATCTAGATATTTCTTAGATCAATTCTTTCCTTCTACAAACCATACCGTGAGAATTTATATTGCTTGATATTGATGATCAAGTTGCCTTACACTCTAGCCTATTCTTACTTCGGTTAAGAAAATAGCGCAACTACATCTTTAAAAGTGCAGTTTACCACATACTTAAACTGAAGGTGTTTGACTTTTTCTCTCAGCTAACACATCGAAATTATCCCGTTACTGATATGCATTTATCATAAGTAAGACTAGCGCAAATATACATGTATTTTAAGTAATCTACATTCTAACTATCACCATTTATAGTCAAACTATACAAGGCGTCACAAGTGAATGGAATTGAGCATGAAATACCTGAGCATTTTAGATTTTCAACTGCGATGCAAAACGTTTTTAGATATTAACGAGATTCGAAGGTACGCATATATGACATATATGGTGACATATGTACACTGATGCAGAACTAAAAAATGTCAACCACAGAAACAATGTCATAAATATGTATAAAGAGCACCAAAAAAGGAGGATAAGTCTAAATTTTTTGAGGACCATATAGAAAAACCACATAATTGAGATGTTGTGGTCAGAATTTAACTATATAGCGTATGGATCAGAATTTCTTGACATTCTTAGAGGTCCTATGATAATCAGACATCAAGAAAACTTAAGTAATTCTCTTTTCCTAGGTTTTCTCAAAAAAATATGGGATATTAAATTACGTAATGTGAGTGTCAAGTATCCTAGCCATACTATGATATAGTTCAGAAACGTGATATGAATTTCTCTATGGTACATCGCAGTGATAGTGTTCATAACCCCGTGATTCCGATAAACAAAATAAACGTTATTATTGCACCAATGAATGATTACTATTGTTTGATTACATTATACGAACAAATATTTAAAGTTACTATTTATCTACTGGTTAGGAGAGTTGTGCCATTTACAAATACAAAACCAACATGATACCTGAATATCTCAAACTAACTGGGCACTAAATGAACTTAGACTTTGGTCCATGAAGTACCACGGGAGATTAATGAATGCTGCCTTTAAATATTTAATATTTTTTATATGTTAAGAATAATGACAGTCAAAAATGAAGTACATCAAGGTCCGAACTTGCAAATCTACAGTCAAAAGTGATCTGAAACAAACACTATTTAGCTAATTAGAAGTTCCATTTACCTGCCAATGTGAAATTCCTAGTCCTTTTCTTGCTAATGTCCGAGAAATATTAGTTCAATCTTACTAAAAGTAAGAGATGTTTTCAGTCAGTCAGTCAGTCACAACATAGAACTTAGTACGTACGTAAATCAGTTCGAGTTGCCATACCACATTAACACAGAGATGCAGTTGTCCATTCAAATCTCACAGTGGTAGAGGTAGTAAGAGTATAAGCATTATATGAAAGATTAGGGTTTGAAGATGTTATTGAAGGAGTATATAATACAGTGAAATAAACTTGAAAAGAGAAAAAAAGACATGAAGAATTAAGAAGACCAGAATTTGGTAGAACACAAAGAGTGGATGCACCTTCGCCATTGCAAACGATTTTGAGCCATGTCATTCAAGGTCTCTAACCATCGGTTGCTATCATCTTGCGAATCCCAACCAGGTAGTCTACACCTACCAACATGGCTCAATCCACTTGTCAGCGACTTCATGGATTTATGCAACATTTTGGTCTGGCCGCCCTTAGCTTTCTTCCAACCTACACCTACACCATAAAACATTGCACGTCGGGGCAGTCGGTGGTTGTGCATACGTAACACGTGTTCCAGCCATCTCAACTGATGAAGTTTCATTACTTCATCAATCGATTTGCCATTCTTACATAGTACCCGTTTCCTAAAAACTGTATTACTTACCCGGTGTCATCGGCATATTCAAAGTTAACAAATAAGTCTCCTGGTAGAAGCTTAACCCATCTAAATTTTAATGAGGAAAGTGTTATTTCTAAATATATATTTACGATAAAGTTAAACAAGAATGGAGAGAGTGGACAGCCTTGACGAACACCACTTGAGGTAATCAATTCTGATGACAGTTCGCCATAAGCTCTAACTCGACCAGTTGTGTTCGAGTAGAGAGCATTTATGAGGTTAGTGTACTTCTTTGGTACTCCTTTCACTGACACAAAACCTCACGTTCAATGGAGTCAAAAGCCGCCTTAAGGTCAAGACTTACTACTATTGTGGGACGTCTGAATGTGTGTCTATGTTCTAGGACCTGACGTAGAGTGAATATCTGGTCTATGCAACCATGTCCAGGTCGAAAACCAGCCTGGTTCTCTCTAGTCTGCTCTTCACGAGCTTTGGTTAGGCGTCCGAATATTATTGAAGCTAATATTTTAGACACTATATTATTCAAACTGATCCCTCTGTGATTGTCACAAGAGGACTTTTGTCCTTTCTTATAGACTGGCACAATCAGTGATTGGGACCAGTCACATGGAATTACGTTCAGTTCCCAGATTCTACCTAAGACCTCAGTCAATCTCGTTGCTAGTACTGGACCGCCATCCTTAAAAATCTCAGAGGTAAACCTGTCAGGGCCTGCTGCTCTCCCTCGCTTCAGATTTCCTATAGCTATTTCAACCTCATAAAAAGTTGGTGAACTTATATTAACTTGCCATTCAGATTGACTGGAAATCGTGGGTAACTGAAGTGTGACTGAAGGCCAGTTGAACTGATCTCTAAAGTGTTCTGCCCATCGATCCGATCTTCTGGATTGAGAATGAATGATATGCTCATCTTTATCTGAGATAGTTTCACTGATACTTGGGTTCCGAATACCGCTTTCTTTAATAAGTCTGAATAGCTGTCTACTGTTACCTATTGCCGCTGCCTTTTCCATCTCCCTTGCTTTCGCTACCCACTACTGTTCACGATCATTGCGTAGGCTTCGTATTGGCCTGCGCTTAAGCTGACTCCGTTCTTCGTTATGTTCAGAGCCAGGTGGGATGAGTTTTCGAGCATCTATCAGTGCGGTAGATGCTGCCGAGATCCATTTTTTCTCCCTGACCTTATGGCTTACCTTACTAGTGGATATCACTGCTGTTTCCACAGATTTTAGGGTGTCATTCCACGCGGCCTCGGGGTGGGCACTACTTACATGGCTGCCTAAATGTTTTTCCAGTTGTTCCTGAAATATATTCTTAGCCTATCATTAAGTAGAACCCTTAGAGGCTGCCCTGCAGTGTCTTTCCTACGTCCAGTAAGACGCAGACAGATACATGCTCGCACTAGAGCATGATCTGAGTCTAAACATGTGCTCTAGAATGATCGACAGTCTTCTATCGAGCCCCTCCATCGGTGGCTGATAGCGGTGTGATCTAATTAGGTCAAACGTTGGGACGAATTCGGGGATCGCCATGTCAAAAGATGTTTTTCCTTATGCTTAAAGTTAGTATTTGCAAGAAATAGGCGGTTATCTGAGCACAGCTGCAACAGACGGTCACCACTATGTGTTCTTTTAGCCACGACACCATAAGATCCACCCAGGTGTCTTTCCCTTTCACTTAGTTTACCTACTTGAGCATTAAGGTCACCAGCCACTATTACTACATCAGAACGCCTAGCTTTTCGGAGAAGGTCGGAAAGTTTCCGGTAAAAATCATGTTTTACACTATCTGAGCTACAGTCAGTGGGAGAGTAGGCAGAAACGACGAAGAGGCAACGACGAGTTTCCCTATCTTTCCGAGTCCTTACTGATCAGTTTAGTCGGACAGCGCATAGACGACTATTTATTGGGATCCAGTCCAAAAGAGCTAGTTCTGCCCTAGGACTTAATGCTATACCTACTCCAGCGAGACCACGGGAAGTAGCATCAGGGCTTCCAGATACACGAAGCGTGTATCGAGATGCTTCTTTATTTTGATAAGGTGAGGTCAAATGAATGACTCTACTCGGATCTTGTATGCGCATTTCGGAGACGCAGCACACATCGATGGTGTAAGATTCTAAAGTCCTAGCTAAGGAAACCTGTTGTCCTATTTGGCATAATGTTCGGACATTAAAAGTTCCTATATGTAGTTTAGAGCGTGGTTTTAGGAGACCAGGAATAACGTTCCGTGTAATCGAATCGTTTGTCCTAGTGGTGCGAGGTGATAAAAGGACGTGGGAAGGGTTAGTCATGGAGATAAGAGAGTTATTAAGTGTAGGAAGGATTTGAAAGTGACCAACTTGGTCTCGTGTGCAGTTACGGGTATGAGGGCTAATATCACTTCCCAGTTGCCCACACCGTGGAAGGGTATTTCTTGAGGGACCTGAAAAAGAAGTTGGATTAGTGTTGGTCTTAACGACCTGGGAGCATGACCGCAGTGCCCAAGGGACAACTGCTTGAGGCCGGTCACGCACGGCCTTTTTGTTGGGGATTTTTGACGTGTTAGCTCCGTTCTTCAAAGAACCTTACCGTCAGAAACGGAAATCCGTGGGATAAGGCGAGGTGTGCTTTTTTAGGGTCGACCTTTTCTAATCTCACCCCTACTTGTGGGAAGGCAGCATCGCTGTTAGGCTAGTTATCTGAAGGAAACACCTTACTGCCGCCACACCTCTGTACAGTCGGCAGTACGACTTCGCCTTCGGACCTTGGGATTGCTGCTTTTAGTCTTACCGCTCTTCAACCGACCTGCCTGGCATGGTAGGACATTGAGGAACGATTGTTCCAGCCAGCATAGCTCGATTGGTTCATCACGATAGGCAAGCCCGACCACCACGTCAAGGTAGCAGCAACGGTCAGGAAAAGGTGTTTTAAAAACGTAGTAAGCGTAAAATGAGTGGTGTTTTTAGATTACTCAGTTTAGGATTAAGGTGGAAAATTTAATTTTAATAGCTGATGTTTTAAACTGTTATATAAAACTATATTGCAGTAACTTATTGCAGCGACTTGAACCAAGGCACAATTATGCCTTTCTGTATGCTGATAATGACTGATCGACTGATATGGTTAATTTAATCCTACATTAGGACTCAAGGGGTGAAAATAACAAATGACAAACTAGCCGGCGTCATCAGCAACATATGAGCATGTTTTCCTCATTATATATATAGCTTCTAACTCCGCCTGTAGCTCTTCTAGAGTTACTGCCGGTCCCAAGCCCGGGTAAAGGAGGAGGGTTGGGCATGGGGTTAGCGACCCCATCCCGTAGAAAAGCTAACTCGCTAAAAAAACGCTAACCAGAAAAAATAATTCAAACCATTTAAACTCTGCCCTGGGAGTTGAAGGAATAATGACGTCTCATGATGAAAGCCGAAATTCTTCGGAAGTCACGAGACCGATGCACCTTCTAACAACCAGAGCAACACTCTTTATAGGTACATGGAACGTCCGGACAATGTGAGAGACAGGAAAGACCAGCCAAATAGCAATGGAAATGAGGAGATACAACTTGGCAGTACTCGGAATCAGTGAAACCCATTGGACACAAACTGGACAACAAAGGCTAGGTACAGGAGAGATGCTGCTGTACTCCGGTCACGAAGGGGAAAATACTCCACACACTCAGGGAGTTGCTCTAATGCTGTCCAAAGAAGCACGAAATGCACTTGTGGGATGGGAATCTCATGGACCCAGGATAATCAAAGCATCATTCAGAACAAAGAAGAAGAACAAAGAAGAACAAGAAACTAGCAATTAACAACAGCCGAACACGAGCAGAGAAAGTCAAATCACAAGCAGACTACGCAGAAGCAAACAGGGAAGTGAAGAAAAGCATTAAAGCCGACAAGCAGAAATACATGGGAGAACTAGCAACGACGGCGGAAAAAGCTGCAAGAGAAGGGAATATGAAACAACTATATGATACAACGAAGAAATTGGCAGGGAGATATAGCAAACCAGAGAGACCAGTCAAAGACAAAGAAGGAAAGACAATCACTGAGATTCAGGAACAGAGGAAAAGATGGGCAGAATACTTCAAGGAACTGCTGAATAGACCAGCCCCATCGAATCCACCGAACATCGAAGCAGCCCACACTGACCTTCCAATAGATGTCACTCCACCAACGATCGAAGAAGTCAAGATGGCCATCAGACAAATCAAAAGTGGGAAGGCGGCAGGACCTGACAATACACCAGCAGAAGCACTGAAGTCAGACATTGAAATAACTGCAAACATGCTTCACCTTCTATTCAAGAAGATTTGGGAAGAGGAACAAGTGCCAACGGACTGGAAAGAAGGATATCTCATCAAGATACCAAAGAAAGGAGATCTGAGCAAATGTGAGAACTACAGAGGTATCAGTTTGTTATCAGTACCAGGAAAAGTTTTCAACAGAGTGTTGCTGAATCGGATGAAAGACGCAGTAGACGCCGAACTTAGGGATCATCAGGCTGGATTCCGTAAGGATCGGTCGTGCACAGACCAGATTGTGACACTACGGATCATCGTTGAACAATCAGTTGAGTGGAACTCATCACTATACGTTAACTTTATTGACTATGAGAAGGCGTTTGACAGCGTGGACAGGAGAACATTATGGAAACTTCGACACTATGGAGTTCCTGGAAAGATTTTCAACATTATACAAAACTCATACGATGGACTACAGTGCAAAGTGGTGCATGGAGGACAGCTGACACATGTATTTCCAGTAAGGACCGGAGTCAGACAAGGCTGTCTACTCTCCCCATTCCTCTTCCTTCTAGTGATTGACTGGATTATGAAGAATTTGACATCTGAAAAAAATACGGAATACAATGGACTTCTCAGAATCAATTAGATGATTTGGACTTCGCAGATGACCTAGCCCTCCTCTCTCATACACACGAACAAATGCAGATGAAGACCGCAAATGTAGCAGCAGCCTCCGCATCGATAGGCCTCCACATTCACAAAGGAAAAAGCAAGATTCTCAAATGCAACACGGAGAACACCAACCCAATCACACTTGATGGTGAAACTCTGGAAGAGGTGGAAACATTCAAGTACCTGGGGAGCATCGTTGATAAACAAGGAGGATCGGATGCAGATGTAAAGGCGAGAATTGGCAAAGCAAGGGCAACATTTCTACAATTGCAGAACATATGGAACTCAAAACAACTCTCAACCAATTTCAAGGTCAGAATCTTTAATACGAACGTCAAGACAGTCCTACTGTATGGCGCTGAAACGTGGAGAACTACTACGGCCATCATCAGGAAGGTACAAGTATTTATAAACAGTTGTCTACGCAAAATACTCAACATCCACTGGCCGGATACTATCAGCAACAGCGTTTTATGGGAGAGGACAAACCAGCTTCCAGCTGAAGAGGAAATTAGGAAAAGACATTGGAAGTGGATCGGACATACATTAAGGAAATCACCAATGTGCATCACGACTCAATCCCTAACTTGGAATCCGGAAGGGAAGCGGAAAAGAGGAAGGCCAAAGAACACACTACGCCGGGAAATAGAAGCCGATATGAAAAGGCTGAATAGTAACTGGAAAGAACTGGAAAGGAAGGCTCAGGACAGAGTTGGATGGAGAATGCTGGTGAGCGGCCTATGCTCCTCCACAAGGGGTAACAGGGGTAAGTGAGTAAGTATATATAGCCTCTGTCTAATACTTATGATAACATTTAGTTTTCAACTCCATTTTAATCGGAAAATAATCGAAAAAAATGGAAGCACAAGGAAATGAGGGATGACATGTAGAAATAACACGTAGAACTTCTGAGAATCAATCGAGACTAAGTAATCAATTTTAGACTACCAAAGTGGTACTTTATAAAAAGCTGCATATGAGATAATAGGCGTTGGGATTTTGGATTACATTCGACTGTAGAAGGAAATTAATTTTTCATTCATGGCACAGCATTTATCAAAATTTACGTCCTTTTGGATTGGTGCTTAGACCTTATTACACAAGTATTGCTTCGTGTAAATGTTGAACCGATCGGTTTCAAAAGTTTATTCTGATCTGGTTAAAAAGGCAATTGTATGATAATATAAGTTGTTGAAAATCAGTAAGGTTTGACAGTCATACTTTTTGCAAATATTTATTGGGATACCGACAGGCGTATAGTATATATATTCCAAATTACATCATTCATCCCAATTGTTCTTATTTACAAAATAGGGACAGAAGGCTTCACACAAAATCTTATGCAAATCTGAACTTACCACTTAGAGAGAAGTCAACTGCATTGCATGCGAAAATGACACTATCCTTCTTGTATACACAAACTTCACGGTCAGCGCGCAGATCAAATAATCTGATGGTTGCATCATCTGAGCCTGTAGCAAATGCATCACCACTAGGGAAAAACCTGACACTGTTGACATCAGAGTCATGACCTTGGAATACCTGAACACACTGTCCTGTACGCATATCCCAGACGTTAGCACACCTGTCACATCCCTAGAGAATTATGAACAAAAAGTGACAACCGCCTACCCCAGAAACAAATGTCCTCCCGAATTCTGATGGTGATAGTGCAATGCTCAGCACGTCCGCAGAATGACCATAGAAACTTTGTATTATTTGTGCATATTCAACATCCCATAAGACACACGAACTATCTCCACTCCCTGTAAGAAGCTGGTGATCAGATATGTTAAATAAACAGCAAGACAAGTATGATGTATGTGTTGCTACAAGCTTTTTTTTAAGGATGGGGTCCTCTTCCGAAAGAAGTGGATAAACAGTGCATTTATTGTCAAGCCCACTGAAAATAAACACGAATGAATAACTAGCTATGGTAACAATTTCAACCAACCCACAAGCGATGAAACCTCCGGAAGGACTGTATGCACAAGACATTACCCAGGTGGTAGGCATTGATATGGAGTATTCCTACAAATTTGGTAAAAATCTTGATATGACCGATACTTTAGATGTCGTAAAACCATCCCAAACTAGAATTTTTCCATCCTAAGCAATTGTAGTAAGAACCCAAACATTACCTGTGAAGAGCTTACTATGTGCCGTTTATCTAAAGACCACGAGAGGCTCAATACTTTGCCCTGATGACCTTTCAGTACTCGTCGTATTCGAATGTTTAAAGATGGTACTGCATCTAGATGCTGACTAGCTGTGACAACTACAGAATAAGACTTTTAAGCGACTAACGGTCTTCATCAGAAAGCTTATTACGCTCGTCCTCAAGCTTTCTTTTCAGGCACTCAACCTCCTGGACCAGCTGTGCGTCGCCCTGACCTTGATCAGCTGAGTCACCCGCCATCAAATGGCAAAAGTAAAAAAAGGATAAAACTAACACATATGATGCCACAAAACAAACACAGTTAGTTTGAAAATCCGAACGTTATCATTCCGTATCCCAAACAGCTTAACATCACTCTCGTTTCAACAAAATGGATTTGGTCCATTTAAAATTGCTTTCAGCAATACGTAAGCAGAAATTTTGATGGGAAGCATTGATTATTGGAGGTAATTATATTGATTGTGACATATATCTCTTCGTCATCAGAACCTTCACCATGTTGTTATGGAAAAAAACAGTCGAATACTGAAGAATTGGCAAATAGCCTTCACTGTTCAGTGGACTCATCTGAAACTGATTTATGTTATGATTTAGTTTAACAGGACCTGATATCAGTTCTTGTATTTATTAACCTACCATCTGTTGAAAGAAGTACCTCAGATTCTCACCCTCATGTAACTTCTCTTCCTAAGTTTGTAGAAAGTACGACGTATTTTCATACCAATGTGTTTAAGCACTCGTGAACATTAGGAACAAAAAATGTCTATATGTCGATGAAATAGCAGTTGAAAGAAAATTTGCAAAATATCTACTCGCCTACGCTGGAAGTAGAGTGGCCATAATCATTTTCTTAAGTACACTAAGTCTATCTCAGTAAAGTGTACAGACTCGCGTAGCTTGATGCAATCGAAAGTTTGGGGACATGAAGTAGTGATCAGTGAGCTGTTAATCATGCGTAAAGTTTGTTGAAATGGGGTTACTCAAGTTTGGAGTACTTAAGTTATCCTGTGGAAGATATTTTCTCCCCAGTGAACGACTCGGATTTACTCGGGCATCGCCACATATTTGTGGGACATACAGCAGTACATAACAGTGTTCTTTATTTACACTTTAAAAGGCGAACACATTGCTGTTTAATTCCGAAAAGCAACCAAAAATCTACACTGGCTCTTGGGCATCTGAGTGATGAAGACCAACATAACTCAACGTGTGAACACGGAATCAGGACTGCGTAGCTCGGTCATGCAAGCGTTGTCACACGATCTGCATCTTTCGTGCATGTATGTAACCCTCATTTTATTGATAGAAGGAACTAGGCTAGCAGTGAATAGGCCTTCATTTAGATCGTGGCACAGTTATAGTGAAGCGGGCAGTTCTGTGTTCAAACCCACAAAGCTTATCGAAATTCAATATAAGATTATAGGAAATATAATTCCAATACGAAATAAAGAAGTTAATGAATATTTGAACTCTATTGTTTTGATATAAACTTGGTTTTTGAAGTCTATTAACTAATCAACCTAAGCTGTTAAACATACATCGTTCGTATATTAAGTATATAAATGTCCTGAGCTCAACCGTGTACTTCAAAGGCGTGCTTGAAAAAATCTTGCTGATCCTCACGACAGGACTAGTCAGTGTAGACAATGATGTTACTGCAATCTATGGTGTTATGTATTAGGTAGTCACATCGTAGCATAAATAAGTGGATTGATACCGACCTCACCTAAGGCCTACAATGAGCCTACATTTATTAATATTTATCATGACTCAGTTCGTCCAGGCAAAATCTTTTCACACAAGCAAAGAACTTTGAACATAGGTAAAAAAAATCCCAAGCAATCGATCTTAACATGACACACGTACGTATTCGTAAACAGTTCACTACTCATAGTTTTCAGATTTTCCTTGAATACATAAATATGTACAATCCAGTCATTTTTTGTCAAGGTGATTTCGTAATTCTTTTTTAGTACATTGGCGGTAAGGTAAAAGTACGATATCAATCCAAGTTCTTCCACTGGGGTCGTTATTTAAAGTAGGATGGTTTTGTTTCGATATGTTTTGAATAATACGCTTAGGAAATGTAATTTTACACCCATTAAGACGTAGCGAAGAACATACTCACTATCAACTTTCTACTCACTGTTCAATTTATTCGACACTATTAGGTTCAACTTTGACACTGATACCTACGGGAAACTTTGTTATATACCATCGGTCAAGTTGGGTAGTGAGACACATTCAAAGCTGAACATATTGAAAGCATGCACCCATTTATTCACTTTTTATATCATACAGACTCTAATAGTATTGGTTCCTAACCACAGGACTTGCAGACCTGAACATATAATAATTGAAGATATTTGCATTCAAAATTTTGAAGGCGGAAACGTTTAACCTAGATGAAACCTCTTGCTTTTCATAATGAGTTTATTATTTTCTTCATAGCCTAAATGTATCCTTAAGACGTCTTTAGCCGCAACCATCGAATATCACAATGGGAAGAGTTAGTATAGATAAGGATATAACGTCAACATAAGGCTCATAGCTTATGTTGTCACATCATGTTAAACTTATAACTGTTGAACAGATCAGTATTCTAGCAACATAGATAAGTGACCTTCTACCGACTAAGACCATATTCGGACAATTCTATAATAACCCAGTCCGTTCTTGACACTCGCTGCCTGATAAGGTGGCCCTACCGACTTCTTAGGATTCATTCAAGAGAAATCTTGATCATTCATAAAGACTTAGGGCGGCATTTCCCATAACTTATTAATATTTCTCTTTTCACCGTCAAATATACCTAGATTCCTATCTGGAAGCATACGTGATCCACTACTACTTGATGCGATATCCCACAACAGTTAAAAGCATTGTAGTCGAACAGCCGGTAGGCGAGTATCAGTGAGGATCCAATAATTCACTGCATCATCATGATTGTTTTATCTTAACCAGGGATCCGTTAGTCGCATACTTCACCAATTTTTTGATAGTGCCACTACAAAATTAAGCCATGTATAAAATGTGATTTCACTTGGTACTGACAGTTATCAGAATATGAAACTCTGTCGAAGAATGATTAGATAGTTACCTATTTACTTCGCTCACTTATTTAAATATCTCTGATTGTTCTGACGGAAACGTCTGTCAGAATGTGACTATCATTGTAATTTTAATGTAGAAATAAGAACTTGGATACATGTAAACTAAACTAACTGGAAGATAGATTATTTATTCTACGAAACTGTATGTATATAAAAGTATTTTCCTCGGAAGTTAAACGCTATTCAAAATAAGAGTAAACTATAAGCCAGTATCTTCGTTATTAGTCCGTTAGATTATCTTTCGCGTTTTTTTGAAATACAAAAATAGAGAATAGCTGCTTACTGTTCCTCATGCAATATACAAACGCCTTTATTTCATAATTGAGTACTATATTACAAACTACTGACCCAAGGTATAGTCTTTAGAACGCGGTTAAGAGATAATCTAAGGACGAAACAATTCAGACCTGTTGAAAATGATATTATTAAAATCCTTCCACTACTCATTTTCTGTTCAGCTTCTTAAAGTAATGTTTACGAACTACTGCTTCTTCCGTGCATCATTACTCGAATCCGAATTTCCAAATGTTGGTTGGAGCATATTTGGATAAATTAAGTCTTTGAACAATTAAATGTTCAGATTAGTTCCATTTTTGTCTTCAACTGAGAAAAATTAACATAGTTGGTGACGGTCTATAATCAAGTATATAACCTTTCTGAACTTTCTAGTGATGAAAAGTTATGGAGTTTGAAATTGTTGAAACCATATCACTGGTGCTGCGTTTTCTAAAATACAAAAATGTGGACTAAATATATTTTATCAACAGCTGAATCACATTCCATGAAATACTGTGTGAAATTTATTTCAAGTTATTGAGAAGGTAGTTGATGCACTAAAAAAGCTATTGGGGTTAGTTAAGTGAATAATTTTAAATATAGAAGTAGAAAAATTAAGAGAAGTGTCACACAAACACACGTTGTTGAAAGGAAAAATTCTATACAGTTGACTGATAAAAACAGATATCAATAAAAGAGTGAGGCTTGCACACATCATTAGTTAAGTTGGTTACAATTAGGGGACAAAATATATGAGATGTAGAAATAAACTAGTGTTGTTACAAGCAATGAACCATAAGATGGCGAGGCTATAGTCTCGCACGACATCTAAGCGGTCCTCATGTGACCTTATGAAACTTGAACGGATTATCAGGCAAAAAATAAGGTTATGAAATATTATAAGGAATCGGGATTACGAGTTATCGTTATTAGTTATAGGTGAGGGGCAGGGTTTTCATCATGAACTGACATGAGTAATAACGACGGAATTCTATTTAGCCATATAAATAAATGGATTTCATGCAAAATTCGAAGAGGCGCTGTCATAGACTTAAATCGTTCGTCTATAATTTATAGTCACGCCTAGGATTACAATAAATGAAACCATTACATTCACACTATTTCTGATGATTATCTTTGATTGACATAATTGAGGTCTGTAATTGAAGGCGAACATATTGTGCTTTGCCTAAAAGGTTCAAGAACGTAACCCAGGTTTCAAATGTTTGGAAAGAATCGGCTGTTAATCTGTAAATCGAACATTCAACTAAATAATCCGCCTCACATTGGAAGTTAAAACTTTCCGACAGTTCAGTTTGTGGCATTAATCATCAGTTTGAGCAGTTTGACATGTTAGTGAGTTAAATAAAACAATGACTGAACATTGTTAGTGAGAGATTAGAAAAGATAAGGTGGAAATATTTTTTTAATGAAAATAAAAACACATAAGTTTTCAGAAACTCTTGTAACAGTTGCTTAGTTTAGAAATGATAGCCAAAAATATGAACTCAGTGCTCGTGTCCATTACTAGTCAAAATTACTCCAACTAAAGAAAACACAACACTTCTGATTTTCTGACTGGTAGTTTTCATACTTTGGTGAAATGATTGAAGTAAACGTTAGAAAGTGTAAAATCGAATATTACTTTCTCTGACCAAATAGATGTAGCCAGAAAGCATATCTTAAATTATTTGGTACATTTTTACGTAAAACAATATTAACAAACAAGCAGGCTAAATATATTGGGATTTTTCCTCTATAAACTTTAAAAAATGATCCATTGAAATCCATTTTAACGAAAAAATAAATATGATTATAGTCATAAGACTGTAATTTTTAAAGGGAAATGCATTTGAGGTCATCTATCACTAGAAATGACACCAGATAAAGAGTCATTATAAACCGAAGAGGAATAACTAACAATTTTTTGTCTTTGTTTGTGACCACTCAATTGTGCACATCTACAGTCACATACATGGTCATAGAAGATCTAGGTCTCTCTCTAAGATCACGAAGATATTTAACCAAACCTAACTAAAATTAGTGGTATGGTGAGGATTATCCAGTACCTTTGATGAGTAACCGCTTCGTTTTCGATGATACTCCAGCTAGTGTCCGTCCGTGATTAAAAAACTTTTTAAAATAAATAAATAAACTCAAGAAACAGACACACTGAATTTTTGAAGTTTTTCTCTAAATATACTCACAGGTGCTCATTGTATGTGATAACAGTCTTGACAAAATTTTCTATAAATAATAAGTTTATTATTGATGACTGAACAGAAAAAGTGGGAATACTGAAGACAAATTTAAGGATGTCGTAATTCCCAGATCTATTCAAAGCCTACTAAGGTAGCTACGAATAGACCAGTGCTTGTGGACGGTAAAAAAAACTGAGAATATATGGGTGTATTGTATTAATTTTACGTATGAACTATCACTTTACAAAAATGCTACACGAAATATACATCTTAAAAAGTAAATATATGAAGAACTAACATATGTATGGTTGAACATTGTCAATTAGTAGTCATAATCATCATCCACTAATTTACAGGAACGATATACATATATATATAATGGATTATGTTCACTTTTTTGTTAAATTACCAGCATAAATAAGATAACACGACAACAAGCCTTAAAAAATACATTCATCTATAAATTAGTGGGAACCAACAATAATAACAACAAATAAGTATATAATACTAGTAACACTAGTGGGATCATTTTTAAGGCACAACATGAGTTTTATTTAATGGGAAAGTGCATATTTATTATGTTCTGTTGAAAGTTTTACGTTCAACTAATCAAGTTTTGAAACTACGATTATTATCAGAAGGGAGTTTTATGGAGATTATCTTGTTTGAACACACAGCAGCCTATGATTTTTCTTTTACATTAGACAGCAAAAACCGTAATCAAAATTCAGGTAACTTCACAACATCGAGAAACATTGTACATCTTAAAAAATGAAGTCAAATACATTTTCCATATACTGGATAAGAAATTACTTCTGTCTAAGACTATAAATAGAGTTGATCAAAACCAAATCAGTTAAGCTAATAAGAAATGTATTGATCACAAAGTGATAATGGATGACTAGCAGAATAATTTTACACTACTAATGGTGCCAATAATGTAAATGAAATAACCAAGAATAGGTATAAGATAAAATATCACTTTTAAATATATTTACAAACATTTGATTTCTTTGATAAATTTTAACAAACTAGAAAGGACAATAATGGTATAATAAAATGAATTTATTTTATTTTAAGGTTTTTCACCAACTGTAAACAGCCTCAAGTTACAAAGAATCTCATGGTTTGAGATAAAGGAGAGATATACTGTGGTTAATGAAGTTGTAAAAGATGTTAGAAATAGGATTGAAAGTCGTAATACGAAGAGCAAACACTTCATGTGTATCTATGCTGAAAAAACATTACTACAGAGTTGGGGAGGAGACGTTGTACTTACTCATAATCATGATACAAATAATGAACTAAATCATGTTAACACTTATTATTTAAAATACGGTAAGTATTATGAATCTCGGTCCTACTTCCGAACACTCGTCCCAATTTCATCAACTGAAAAATGGCGCACTCTTTTCAGTGACCATGTTATTTTTGGTTTAGAACAGATGAAAACCCTCAACATAGAATAAAATTAATTTTGTTCTTCAAATATCGTTGTCAGTAAGAAGTTGTGGAGATTGTTCAATTTCATTGAAAACACGGACCGGTCGATGTTAGACCACCACAAAAGACCTAGAAGCACAGGACGGCTGTTTCGTCCTAGCATGAGACTCTTCGGAAGTGCGCATCCTTGGACCCTCGAGCGGGATTTAAACTCAGGTACTTCGGTCCCACGCGAAAGCTCAATCCCTAGACCACTTAGCTGGAATCCGACGGTGAGAGATGGTCAAGCAATGTAGTGGATTTGTTGAAGTTAGACATCAACATCGTCAGGCCTCGGTTTAGTGGCTGGGCTTTCGCGCGGGACCGAAAATCCCGGGTTCGAGATCGTGGATGAGCACTGTTGAGGAGTCGGATAAAACAGCCGCCAGTGCTTCTAGGTATTCAGTGTTTGCCTAGGATTGATCGGTTTATGATCTCACTGAAATCTTGTTGTTCTTGATTTGTTTAAACACGACTAAGTTTTTCCTACAATTGCAGTCCAGTTCTTTTCCAACCTAGGATTGATCAACTTCATCTCCAATAACTTCATAATTCTTATATTATCCTATTCTTAACATATCACAACCAAAACGTTACTGTTACAAACAATCCATCAACTAGCTGTTTTTTTATATCAGTTGAGTGATGTCATAATGTGCATTGTGTAAATTAGTGCATAAATACATAAACAACAATTAAAATGTACTACATTTACTGCAAAATTATTTGACCTTTTTTGCATGAATTGATATGAAAATTTATTGAAACTACGTTTTTTTCTAAATTTGGATTCGGCAAATACAAATCATATATTTTACATAAACTTCATTTAATCGCTCATGTCATATCGATATTAGAAATTACTACAAATGTCATCCGCACCATGCTCATGTCCTAATAAAACGCGTGAATACTCAATGTTCATTTCGGTTTGTCATCATCAGGACAACCTGACAAGTTATAACGTTAATGAGTCCTCAAACTCATCATTTGATTTATCTCTTTCAAATCTTCTCGTCATAATACTAAGAGTAAGGTAATCATCTCTTACAGCTATTAATTTGAGTTACTTTTTGATGCAATAAGTAGATTGTTTGTATGATATTCTTTGATTTCAGCGACTAGATTGTGTACAGACTACAAAATTAGTGTTCATAGTCAACAAGAAAAAATTTTAGATGGTAATATAGTAACACTGACAAATGAAAGCCATATTGATTTCTGTACTTTGAATTCTTATCTAAAATTTAATTACCAGTGATCAGTATTGCTTCGTTTCATTAGAAACATACAATCACTTACTATCTAGATAGTTGGTCATTGGGTGTCTATTTTTGTCACCTGTTCAGGTCCTACAGAGAAAAATTTAGATATTTCCGGCTGATTCTCTCTTATTATTACCTTACTTGTTAGTACTATGCGAAATTGTTTTCAATATTTAACAAATCAATATAAAGTATAATGAACAATTACGGGAACTAGTAGTAAGCAAAGATTGAGTGAACCCTATAAATCTAAATGAAAAATAAATCTTTATATCCACTAACGAATGGAAGTTCGAACGTTCTGGGCTCAATCTAGTGATGGGTTCATATGTGTGCCCAGAAGTCAAAGAAAAATTATTCTAATGTACCCTGGTTTCCAACGGTTCACTTGCTGATAGTCACTAATGACAATATAGATCTTTAAATTATACGAATTTCCCGTAAACCATTTACGCAAATAAAACAGAATTAAAATGTATTTGTTCAAGCAGATAAATGAAAGAGATAAAGTACACTCAGACTGTTAGCCAGATATATTGTACGGGTTATAACATCAAGATCAAAGAAACTGAGAAATGGATTTGACTCATGATTAAGGACAGAATTGGAAAAAGCGGTAAAGTACTGATCATTTAGTAAAAATAATATTTTGTAGTATACCAAAATAAACTTTATATACATATTACTAATTAGTCTGTGTGCGTGAAACTTATATGTTTGACATGTAGAAGGCGTTATATATCTCTGTGGAAGAGGTCCTTTGGAAATTATATTTTATCATCCTATTATCTACAAACGTACGGTATCTTGATCTCAACTTTTTTAATAACATGAATTGTACGGACCTATAATTAATTGAATACAGTAGATCAGAACATAGATACTTAAAAATCAACCAACTTGTTTTTTCACATTTGCGAGTGTTTCACATTCTTTAAACTGTAGTAAACCAACTATATAAATGGTAATAAAAATTAATTCTGATAAGTCGTTCAGGATGTACATATACATACTTTAAGAAATAGATTTAAGTTCAAAATTCATGATCGAGTAGTTGAATGTCAAGTGACTGCTTCATTAGTTCACAGTTTCATTTAAAACAATGTTTCACAATGGAATTTCACCAACAATCTAATTTACATTTATATCCATACTTATGTTATCACTCTATCTGTATAAACTGCGGTAGAATATAACATTCCTTACACTGATTGAATATGATTAATTAACAAACAAATATA